TTATTTCTGTGTATTCAGCTGGTGCCTTAACTTTCTCTGCCTTTGTTCGGCTTACATTGATTGCTGCCCTCTTGTTCCTCCTTTCTTCAATTTTTTCAAGGGTGCCAACAGAGAGCCATTGCTTGTGATGATGTTTCTTGTGACCCAGAAACTTCGTGACATGTTGAAGTGATTGCCTCTTTGCTCCCTTTCCAATTATTCTCTATGTTTGTGTCCTCTCCATTGAGTAGATCCTGCAAGGCCTGAAACCTATTGGTGAGGGCTATCTTGAATTCGTTGAGTTTTACGGTATCCATACGAAAAGCCGTATTAAATTTCTGTGATATTGTCAACTCAGTTGTCCAGTGCTTCTTTAGTTTCAGTTTTGTTTTGGCGATCAGCAAGTGGTTGTCTGAGCCTATATCGGCTTCTCTCTTGGTTTTCACATCCTCCACGGTACTTCTGAACTTTTTATTGATACAGATATGGTTGATCTGGTTCTGAAGGTTCTACAGGCGGAATTTGTGTAAGACACATCATAACACAATTTAAAGCTAGAAAAAAACTTTATTTCCCGGCCGATTTTGACAGAACATTTAAAAATGTGAATAACGAACGATCACTTAGGTATCGAGGTTCGAACCATTTTAAGGAAAACGATTGTTTGAGTTCTCCAAAAAGAAAACGAAATAAAGTTAGTCAAGTGAAAGGACAAAAATGTTTGTTTTCAAGTTTGTGTTACACAGCACAAGTCAGAGGTATGTGGAATGACTAAAGAGAGTGACATATAAGAAAGATGCATCAAATAGGGAAGTAAATTAATAAAAATAGACTGAATTTGACAAAAGCAAGTAAACTTGACTCAAAAACGTTTCCTAGGCACAGCCTTACAACCAACATTCCTAGAATTAGTGGCATTACCAGTGACACCTATTTCTAACAATCTATTACTTCCTGTTTTTACTTTAAATTATGGCAACTTACAGTTAAATTGTCCATTTTATCCATGTGAACAGAAATCGCCCTTAAATATTCTAGCCAAACTTTGTGTCGACTTCTTTGGTAAACTTGTTGGCAGGAATTGTTTGACGATTTATTTCATCTTGAATAATAAGTGGGATGAAATAAAATAAAATAAAACATGAGTATTCTTTAACTGGTTTTATACACAACAGTTACGTTATATGCTAAAGTTCGATTTAACTGTTATTCTGCCACAAGGAAGTCGACTAGAATCTCGTATTCCGTTGTCGTAAGATATTTGTATGCCAATAAATGTGATGTTTTTCGACTGTGATAACTCACTGAAGCGTAAGTGTAACATATCTGGACAGATTACATATGGACATATGTGCTTGCAAAAGGCAGCCGAAGTTGATCCCATATTCACCAAACCTCATAAGAAACAGAAAATGTTTATGAAATGAGAGTGTGTGATTACAGAACAGCTAGTTGTTAGTATCATAGATGATTGCAATGATTTTAGTAAACATAAATTTTTCAACAGAAATATACATCTTTTGTCATACAAACGTGACACTGTTTTTCTGGAGATAATTTGTCAGTTGTATTATTCTATAGCAGAAGCACTTGTGAAATTACTCATTTCGGATATTAGCTTTGCGATCGAATCGAGATCAGATATTTGGAGAACCCTGTACTATGCTTATGTTGATGGTGCTATCTGGGGTTCTACAATATTTGGCCAAAATCTATTCAAGCTCATGAAGATTTATTCTCGGTCTTCTGAAACCCTATTCTGAACTACGTGTTGGAGCTTGGGATATCTGAACTTTGTGTCAAATATGACAGCAGGTTTCTTCAGCTAGGACCCTGAAATTCCGTGCCAACAATTTATGTTGCCTCTTTGAAACACTCATACAGGATCCTAGTAAAATCAATAATTCGATTTCATTTTGTCCAGAAACAGAATGAAATCGGTTTACGCTTCGTGTATCTGAGGGCCTTGCTGCTGGTTTTAGTGACCTCGCTGGTGTAGGTCTCGTATTAAACCCTGTGGCAGAACTAGGTCTCTTGGAGTGGATCGCTTTAGATAGTCGCTTGTACGCTGTTCGACTAAACGGGAATGTAAAGTCTCGTAAAGATAAGGAATAGGACATTCCTATGAAAGAGCTTTAGATTGTGAAGACGTTGACGAAATGCATTGCCTCCTGAACACGTTAAGCAATAATGCAAGCACTTTCTGGTTGAGATTCTCCTCATCGATTGGGTTGCATCGGCACCCGGACTAGTGATAGGGAGTGAAGCAGTTGAGTGTGCTGACTGCTTCACTTATCTCGGGAGTCTGATCAGTGCTGATGGCTTGATGTGTGACGAAACCTCAGCACGGATACAGAAAGCTCGATTGGCTGGTGCCAACTTGCGTCACTTATTGCGCAGGTAAGATATCCGACAGCGCACCAAAATACTAGATTACCACTGCTCATCTATTTGTTCCGTCCTACTTTATGGTTGTGAAACATGGGCAGTAACTGTAGAGGATATTCGTAGGTTATGAGTATTCGTTCATAGGTGTCTTTGATACATTCTTCGTATATCCTGCAATAATCGAATAAACAATACTGTTGTTAGGAAACGAGTAATAGGTAGGGATGGCGAATCAATAGATGAAGTAATGAAACTTCAATCGGGGTAGTGTTGGGACATGTATTACGAATAGCCAACCACTGACTGCTTTGATGAACTATGTTTTGTGGTGTCGAAGTAGGTTGGGAGAAAGCTAGGGTGGTTAAACCAAACTTTATCAAATCCATTAAGTCACTGACAAGTGGACTGATTCATGTTGGTAGATTTAGACTACCTGATTTGGGTCCTCGTGACGAAAGTCACCAATGTTTATACGCCTTGAATGGCATGGTTCAAAATAGTTTACAGTGGCGCAGGTGCATTTACTCCTTGCGTTCTCTGAAATTAAGGATTCTTCATCATCTCCATCTTTCTGTTTCTAACTTTATCACACTGAATTGTACTTATTGAACAGTGTTTTCTAGCCCTAATCTTCTTCATTACCGCCAATACTTCTACTATCTCTACTGCTATGGGACTTGAACTCAAAATTGCGTTTCTGTGCTAATGCATGGCAGCTTGACTTTATGTACCTACTTACGAAGTTCTGCGTTGAAACTGACTGACTGACTGTTAGAAATATATTTGATGAATAATCCTTTTATCACCACTGAACAGTCTCCGTTCAGTAGCCGATTTAGTTGGGAGTCTACCAGTAAGTCGAAATTCTTTAAGAAATCATTACCAGTTATATGCACGGATTCATCCGCTATGATGAATTCGCTGCAAAACAAAGTATTTTGACCGAAGTTCAAGATTATTTTTTGCCTGCCGTTTCTTTTTATGTTGGCTTGATTTGCTCACAACTTTGATCAGAATAACTGTTAAGTAAGATAGAAAGATTAAGCTACAACTGCCAAGCATTTACTAACATTCATCTTGTTATTATTACAGCTCAAATGAATAATAACACAGATTCTATCTGAATTTTGTGCTGATGATGTTATTCAGAAGAACAATGAAAGCTTACTGATATTAATGTTTATTTGTTAAAAATATTTGAAATAATCTCAGAAATTGAAATTGAAATCATTCCATCGTATCGTCCAGTAGACTAATCTGAACTTCTTCAGGGTAACAATCGAAATCAATTATTTATTGTTTGTCGATCAAATCAAGTCTGCATTATTTGCTTATCCAATCAATCATATTCAGATGCTGACTTTAGTAATTTGGGTTACATAAGTCAGTGAGATGTAAATAGTGGAGAGTAAATGTACGTGTCTTTGTGTGTATGTGTGACTTCATTTTAATAATAGTTGATATCCGGTGAAGGAATGTCGAGCATGTGTTCACTAAAATGAAGCCTCAACGTGCGAATCTAAAAGGTTTTAAAAGGATGAATATCTGTAGATTGAGAATTATCAAGCGATTGTTGTGATGTTACAATGTTGGAATTAATTTCCGTGTGGCATTATATGTATAAGCAAACCAGAATAGTCAAAAGAAAAGATGATTTTCAACTAGCTACCATACGACAAGTAACAATTGGTTTATCACTTTCATGTCAGTAAATAGCCTGATGTACTGGAAGTAGTATAGAACTCCGTCAACTTTAATCACTAAATTCATTCCATCCAGACACCGGCATGATTGTAGTGTTGGTGATTTTAGCTTCCGGATAGACTGATCAATCCATTATTTTTGAATCACACTTTCACCTTGTCAACTATCCATCTATAACTCTAATTTTCTTTATTAAGAGATGTGTGTGTGTATCGTTTAGTTCATTCATCACATGTCTTTAGCTTACTTTTATCTGG